ATAAAAGAAAACCAAATTAAAATTTTATTTGCTTTTTGTTGAGAGATGATTGATGTACAAAAGTTGTATATATTTAATGTATACAACTTGAAGAGCTTGGAGATCAGTACACACCCATTGAAATCATCACCACAATCTGAGCCGCAAACACATCTATCATCTCCAGAAGTTGTTGTACACTTCATTATTTTCTCATAAGAATATTTGACATAAGATCTACCTCAGGAGGCTTTTATGTATATAACATGGTACTACGCTGGAGAGATCTGCTATACTCACTCATCTTGCACAATTTCGAACTCTGTAACCTTTGACTAATATCATCCTGCTTCTCCTTGTCTCCAGGTCCTGGCAACCACCCTTCATTTGAGTTCAACTATTTTAGACTTCTCACATAAGTAGTACTGTGTAGTATTTGTCCTTTTGTGGCTGGCTTGTTTCACTTGGCCCAATGTCCTACATGCTCACTCAGGCTGTCACAAGTGGCAAGGTTTCCTTTCCTTTCTTTCTTTTTTGGGGGCACAGGATATTGAACTCACGACCTTGTGCCTGCCAGGCAGGTGCTTATGCTGCTGAGCTAAATCCCCAGCCCAGGGTTTCCTTTTCTCTGGCTGGATAATATTCCTTTCTTGGGTTAGGTATAAAGCTCAGCAGCAAGGTGCCTGCCTGGCAAGCATGAAGTCCTAAGTTCAATTCTTGGTCCAAAAATCAAAAACACAAACAAATAAAAAAAAAAAACCCATTCTCACATTTTCTTCTATCTACACACCAAACAATGAAAATAGATTTTTACATTACACCATACACAAAAATCAATTCGAATAAGTAGAAGGCTTCAATGTAAGACTCGAAACCATAAAAAAAAACTCTACAGGAAAATAGATTTTTGATACTAATCTTAGCAATGATTTCTTGGATCCGACACCAAAAGCAGAGGGACAAGTGAAGCTATATCACACTAAAAAACTTCTGTACAGCATAGGAAATAAATGTAAAAGCAACCCTGGAATAGAAGAAAATATTTGCCAATCACATATCCAAAATATATATAGGGAACTTGTAATTCAAGCGCAAAAAATCAAGTAACTCAATTTAAAAATGGGTACAAGACTTAAATAAATATTTAGACAACATACAAATGACCATCAAGTACATGAAAACAAGCTTAATACTGCTAAAAATGAAAAATCTCATTTCCAATGAAGAGTCAGTAAAACAAGTGTATGTAAAGGAAGTTCAAGAATGAGAAAGATATTTTGCAAAAATGTTTTTCTTTAAAAAGGGTTGGAAAAGGAACAAAGATTCCTTCAAGCTGTAGAATTAAATGGGCATTGTGGCTCACTCCTGTAATCTTAGCACTCAGGAGGCTGAGATAGGAGGATCGTTGCAAGTTTGAGACCATCCTGGGCTACAAAGTGAGCTCAAGGCCAGGCTTACCTGTATAGTGAGACCCTGTCTCAAAAAGACCAAAAAAAAAGAAAAAGAAAAAAAAAAAAGTAAAACTGCATATGAATGCTCAAATAATTTCCTGATTGCGTTACTATGGTCTGAATATTTGTATTTCCCCTCCCCCAAATTCCCATATTGAAACCAAATAACTAAGTTGATGTTAATGGGATGCAGGAGCCCTTGGGAGGTGATCAGGTCATGAGGGCCCTACTCTCCGAGATGAGACTAGTGCCTGTCTCAAGGAGGCCAAAGGGAACTTGTTAGCCTCTCCTGTCATGTGAGGACACCCAGGAGGTGCCACCTTTGAGGAACAGGAACTCACAAGCCAATGCATCTGCTGGAGTCTTATCTTGGACTTGCTCACCTCTGGATGGCAGCAGGACATTTCTGTTGTTTATAAGGGTCTAGTCTAAAGTATTTTGTTATAATATCCTATAATGGACTAAGATACTAGTCAATGGAAACTAATACGTAAAATGGCTAGCTCAGCTGAGTAGGATGAAGGAGATGGTTAACACAGCTAGTATATTAGATATGTTGACTTAGTGAAGTAATGACTCTAGTTAACCTACTTAAAAGGGGGCCAAAGTAATTGCATATTTTTATGCAAATGAGCTATTTTTACCTTTGATAATGGCCATTCTACGGTGATTCAGTGTGGGAGTTAAAAGAGATCATGAGGGCACCCTATGTATCCATTGTACTACCACACTTACAGAGAAGCCTGAGATGTCCACCAGAGTCAGTTTTACCTGAGCACATTTCTCAGCTTCCTGTCAAGTTGTCACCAGTGGAAATGAAGATCCTTGAGGATCTACTTCTTCACATTAACTATCTTTCCTCTTTTCCTTTCACTGTGGAACTCAGATAAGGCAGGACCTTGTCTCCTACCTCACCATGAGAATGATGGCAATACCCTACAGCATGGCAGAGCAGGAAGACAGAGGAAACCTTGCAGTCACAGGGTAGTCATGTCCCGAACCACTGCACAGATAGACCTGGCTTTCTGAAGCTGCCACGTGGAGGAAGTGTGTAGTGAAACACACTGCTCTGCAGAGACACGCAGAGGACCTCAGCTACTCTGAACCCTGCTGCTGGAGAATTTTCAGCCCAGACACGAGACGTGTGAATGAGAAGCCTTTAGATGACCCTGGCCCTGCCACATCTGTCTGCATCCATAAGACAGAAACCAACTAGCAGAACCCTGCCTGAATTCCTGACTCACAGGTTATAAATGACAGTTGCTGTCTTAAGTCACTGAGATTTGGGGTGACTCATGCAGCAAAAGATAACCCAAACAGTCTGTATTAACAGATTGGCCTTTCATAATACGAATGCTCTAACTCTATATTAAAATTACCATTTGCCTCTAAAACCATCTTGAAGTTCTTTCATGTGTTTCACTATTTTTAAAAAATTTTATAGAAAGAAAAAAGAAACAGGTGTGCAAAGCTGAAATGTGCATCAGTCTCTGGTTTCTAATTTCTAGACCATTATTCTTTGTATGTGGATTTTTTGTGGGGGGCACTGGGAATTGAACTCAGGACCTTGCGCTTGCCAGCTAGCTGCTGCCACTGAACTGTATCCCCAGCCCCTGGAGTCATAAAATAATGGACAGAAAAGAAATTTAGAGATTAGTAAATAAAGAACTCAGTATAAGACGCTTGTCTAAAGCATTTGGTACCATGTACCCAAAGGGGCTACACTGTGTGTGCATGTATATGAATATGTCCCCAATTCTGAGTATAATGAGAACTGAAAGGACCGGACAGACATTTAATTAAGACATAATGCTCTCTTCTGGTCAAAGGGTTTGAATATTTGCCTTGACTCTGCACCGTCAAGTTTGGTCTTGGTCTTTGGTTCCCTTGTCAGTGAGTAAGGCAGCTAGACTCCCTCACTTCCCTAGGTCCCACCCAACCTTCCACTTATGACTCTAAATCCCTAGCAGGATCACTGGCTGCCCATTCCTAGCTGGGGTCGTGGCACATGTAGTAACTGTATGCTAGCAATTTTCTTCTATATCCCGTTAATGCCAGGTCTTGGATGATGAAATGTATCATTGAGTTTGCCAAAGGCTAAAAACAAGCCCTCTATTTTTAATTTACATTAAAAATGAATCTGTGTTCCAGCTTCACTTTGAACAGTACCTTCCTGCTAGCATGAAAATGGTCTCAAGGCAGTAAACTAAACAATGAGCGTTACATATACAAGCTCCATCTGTATTGAACACACTCTGTTCCAAAAACATCTCTGTGCAGTTGGGAGTAAGGCATTAAGCAGAATAACATTTTCTTAAAGAAGAAGGAGGAGGAAGAAAAGAAGAATTCCAAGTGACTAACAATAGCACTCTGAGTAAATAAATCTGTCTGCAAAGTACATTATACATTTTCTTCAAGTAAAAGGAGGAAGAAGAGAAATAGAAGTGTGCTACAATAGAGATCAGAATGAAGAAAGCCTTCTAGAAGGCACAGTGTTCTCACTAATCCTTAAAGGCACAGGAAAGGTCTAAATATAATAAAGTAAAACGTGTGGTTTAATAAACACATGTATAGTGTGATCCCAATTTTGAATTTCAGATACTGCCACTTTAAAAAAGGATAGAAAAGATATACAATAAAATAATAACATTCCCTTTAGCAAGTAGAATGAATAATATTTTTTCCAGTGCTACTGTTAAATATCTCTTTTCTTCAATAGAAGTGTTGCTTTTATAACCTGCAAATTGTTTAAGGAAATTAATTCACCTCTAATTGTATCATATATTTAAATAGTTTAAATGAAAATAATTTATATTTATATCAGTATGTGATAAAGTATAGTAATACCAGATACATACATTTTTCAAAAAGTCAGTAGCACTAAATATAAATAATTAATAAAACAAAACAAAATCAGATTGCAATAAACAGCTTCCAAATAATCCATGCCTCCTTTTCCCCAGAGATTGCTTCTAACAAAAGTATTTCCTACTAATGAGCACTCAAAATGGAAACTCTATTTACTTAGTGAACTTTGGTTGCCACTATACTCGGAATTTTATCACTGCAGTTGCTAAGCATAAAATTTGCAAACATTTATTGTGTTCCTAGTGTAGCTCACAGGAATCTCAAGAAGAAAGCATACTGAACTGTTAAGCATTCTATGGCTGACAACCTAGGATTGTAAATTTCTGCCCAGAGTCGTGAATATTAGCTCTCTAGTTCTTTCAGTCTAACTTTCAGATCCAAACCAAACCAAACCAAACCAAACCAAACCAAACCAAACCAAACCAAGACAAAAATCATCGAAGACAGACTGCAGTTCAGATGTAGGATGAAAGAAAATATCCTGCAGCCTCATTCCATGGTGAGGTAACTTTCTGATGCAGGGACTCTGCAGCGGAACACTGGTGCTACAGCCAGTCGGGTCTGTCCCTGCCGGTGCTGCGAAGCGCACTCCCCCCCCCCCCCAGCCTCTCACTGGGGTGCGCCGGCTCTGCTGCTCCCCAGGAACGAGCCAGTTGGTCCCGGCAGCATCTGCTCTTTGGGAACACTACCGTTGGCACCTACCTGGGCTCCACTTGGGCGACAGCACATGTCTGCCTTCAGCTGATGCAGTGACCTCACTGGGTGCTCAGTCAGGTAAAACAAGACGGGTTTACCAGTCTGTGCAGCGCCTTCCGTGGAAATATTGCATGAGTCAGCTTTTATCTCTCAAACCCAACACACAAAGGCTTCACAAAAACCTGATTTGCAACTTTCTCCCTGCCTTTTCCCCCTAGTGTGCAGACCACAGACTTCAGCATCACGGAGAGCCTTAAATGAAACATGACATCATTCAATTGAGAAACAGGACAATAGACACCACTGTGGGTAACTTGCAAATGCACACTTCACTGAGCAACACCCTCTGACTTCCATTCTTTTGTGAACATCAAATACAGCCCACACTCGCCTAAAGCTCCTTGGGGTTCTCCTTAAACTCCGCATTAAAATAAGCCAGATCTTGGGAGCTGGAATATTTGCAAGTTCACTTCCTGAAGTAGGAGCTTGTTTCAGTGTAAACGGACACATCCTTAATCCAACTTTCAAAGGGAAGTTTGGGGTGGGTGTGAGACAGTGAATCACATCCAGCAGAGAGCAGTTTAGAAAATTAGAGTATGTTAACAATATAGTTTTAAATAAGCAATGTTATGCAAGAAGATATTTAAATTTAACTTCTCAAAAAACAGTTTTAAAAGCAGTATCTAAAATCAAAACTTACACGGATTACTTCAAAAAGCAGTTAAATTCTACAATTTCTTTCTTTCTTTTTTTTTTTTTAATTGGTACCAGGGATCAAACCCATGACTGCGCTTGCAAGGCAGGTGCTTATGCCGCTGAGCTAAATCCCTAGCCCAATTTTTTTTCTTAATATTTTGAGACAGGGGCTTGAGAAATTGCCCAGGTAAGACCTGAACTTGTGGTCCTTTTGCCTGAGTCTCCCAAATTGCTGGTATCATGTGTGTATGCCACCATGCCCAGATAGCCTCAGGCATCTGTGATTTATAAATACTAAAAAGTAAAGACAGAATGATATAATTCCTGCACTTCAGTAAGCTGGACTCCAAATTATTTGGGCTTTGATTTCCCTAAGGCAGACTGTCCTTTTTAAAATCCTGTAGCTATTTCTACATAAGAGTCAAAAGATTTATGTTTGAAAGAGATACTAAATTCCTTAGATGAAGGTCTCCAGAAGTACAGATATGCTACCAGAAATTGATATCACTGTCATGGAGGTAAAATTCAAAGAATGGATTTTGTTCATATAGAGATATCTAAAACTCACCTCTTTTAAAGGATTAAAATCCTTTAAGTAGACATTCCATTAAAGTGTTCATTAGTGGTTATGGAAAACAACATTAGCAGATCATCTTTAATATAGCTATTTCTATCCCATGCCTATTAAGTAATTTTAAACTAACAGCATAATAAGGTAATTTGCTTGAAGGCCCATTTCCTTTCAAATAAGGTTGAACATAAAAAGTGCTACTTTAATAAGATGGAAGTACATCAGTCAGTTCACAGGACCAGTTGCAACAATTCCCCCAACAGATCTACCAGGATCCATCAGAAATTGGCAATTCAGGATTTTGGAAGGCAGCTGAGAGGAAAGGTCCTCCCTAGGCTGTGCAGACTGTCTCAGCTTCCATTCTCACCCCCCGTGACCCTCCAGCTGCCCTGTACCTGTATCCAGGAAGCACCCTCCTTTCTGCTTAGCTGAGTCAGCTCCAAGCTTGCGTGCTCCCATTTGATCTCCAGACTGCTCTTGCCCCTCTCTGTGCATTTATTAAACAGCTGCTTATTACACTATTCAATTATTTTCCAACTGTAGCTTCCTGCTCTGTACTGTCAGTTGCAGGGACCAGGGAACTTTCCTATACTGGAAGATACACAGATCTAAACTAGATGGGGCTGAATATGCAATTTCCTGGCTTCCTGGTTCAATTTACTTTCTGTGCATAGCCTCTGATACCAAGTTGGCTACTATTATTATCCAATAAAATGTTACTGCCCTTGAATTTTTTCTTTTTTTTTTTTTTTGCCAATAAACATGATTGATCAAGGAAACAAAAATGGCAAAGCTTCTTTGTGATAGGCTTGTGGGCAGTTTGCTAAGCTTACTGACAGGACAAGTGACAATACTGAAGGAAAGCTTTGAAGTGACATACAGGCCATATTTGGTCCCAGGACACAATTATATCTTAGTTTGTCTCTGATTCTTGCTTTGGCAAGATCATCAGCAGGGGTGAGCAAAGACCTCTTGGATCACTTGCACATAACTGAAACCACCTATACTGCAGTCACGAATAACCAGGAGTTAAGGTATTTTGAATCTAGGTTTCTAAATTATAAGCATTTTCAGAGTAGGGGACACGTACTTTTTACCTTTATCATTGCTCAAGTACCATGGATTTGCAAAATGAATTAACAAATAAATAGTGGAGCGATAACCCCTCCCCTCTCCACACACACACACACACACACACACACACACACACAAGCTAAGAGGAAAAGAGGACAAAAGAGGGAAACACATTTCTTGAGTAACCTTTAAACTTCACCCCTCAGTGCGCAGTTTTTTTTTAGGGCCCCCATGTGTTCCGTGTGACCTCTACAATAGCTTCATGGCCTAGGCCCCACATCTCACACTCTACAACTCCGTCCCCCTGGAGCTGCAGGTAGTTTGTGGAGGTGCCCTGCTGAGTTGCCACTAGACCTCACACATGCAGCAAAAGGAATCCTCTGACATACAAAAGGCACAAGCAGTAGTATTCTCACAGAGGAATTCATTTGGTGATTTGAACACTGGGGGAAAAGCAAAATTCCTTTCTAAAGGACGGTGAGACTGGTCACAGGTAAATGCACATGTGTCTCTTCAGGGGTAAGACACTGTACTCTCTCTGGGAAGCAACTCTTTTTAATCCCCTTCCAGCACTAATTATACAATCAGGGAGTAGGGGCATTTTTCTTAGTGTCCCCGCCTGGAAAAGGAGGCAAGTCATAGAAGACCAGCACACACTGGACAGCAGGTAGAGCAAGAATACAAGCCAAGAAAGTGGGGCCTGACTTGAAGGCAGCCAGAAAGTCCCCACTAGCTGTTAAAAATAAAAATCCCCCCGAAAACTTTGTCATAGGGTCTGGGCTCTTACCACATATCAAATATTCCTTCTCCAAAATATTGTGGGCCAAGGTTTCAGAGTTTGGATTTTTTATTTTAAATTTTGGAACATTTGCTTATATATAACTTATGTGTATGTAGCCTGAAGTTAACTTTACACAATATTTGTAATAGTTTTGTACATGAAAGACATTTTTTATGACTTGAAATTTCTACCTGTGACATCCTGTCAGCACTCAGACTGTTTCAGATTTTGGGGCATTTCAGATGATTTGGGGCATGTCAGATGTCAGATTTTCAGATTAGGGATAGTCAATCCACATCAGAAACGGAGTACTTTTTGCTTTAAGGTAAAAGTCACCAGTTAAAACTTTGAAATCTCCTAGAAAAGACTATGGAATCATTGCCAGCCTACCAGGAATTAGCCTGCCCACCTCCCAGGGGACTCTCAGGCATCAGGAATGAGACCACAGTGGGTTTTCCTGGTTGGGATTGGAGGAAGGACAGGAAGAAGCATAGGCTGCACACAGTTGCCAGGACTCAGCAAGACCTCGCTGGGTGGAGACAGTTTGCTGATTTTGCACCCGGGCAACAGCTCCAACCAAGAAACTTGTCAATAAAGGGAGACGATCACCTTGGAGAGAGGAGGAAGGACAAAGGCATGCATACATTTTGAGGTGCAAAAAAAAGATTTGCTTCATATAACCAATACTAGATAACGCAGATCTAGGAAACTGTAGTTTCAGGCACAAAGGTGCTAGAAATCACAAGGGGCTATTTCAAAATATAGTGTTTTACACCTAGAATATAATTTTTTTTTGCATTACTGAGGATTGAACCCAGGGCCTTTGCACTGAGCTATTACTCTAGTTCTCTTTTAAGACAGGGTCTCACTAAGTGGTCCAAGCTGGGCTAAAACTTGAGATTTTACTGCCTCAGCCTCCTGGTATGGTAGGACTACATGTGTGTGCCACTTGCCTGACTGTAACATTACAATTTAAAGGCTGGAGAACTGTGTGTGTGTTTGAGAACTCTGTCTTGTGAACTATGATATTGATTGCCATTGTGACAAATGATAGGACCAAAACAAATGATAGAATTGATTATTTTCCGATGCACAGTATATTAACAAAATACTTAAAAAATACTTTTAATCTATCAGAACTTTTTCTTTGGGAAAAAATATCATGGTATTACGTCTTCTACCAGTATACCACAGAATAAATGCGACAGACATTAAAGTCAACTGCATACCCAAAAGTGCCTGCCACACATCCCCATTAAAGGCCCTTTGAAGGACACACTGACCTTCTTCCTGAAAGTAAGCAGTAATGTACTAAGGCCCTTCCGCCCTGCAGTTATTTATTAAAAATCCATACACTGCATACTCTAAACCCAGAAAACATCACCAGCTACAAATTCTGCCTTCCTATTGTTATCTGCACCAATCTATATACTTGGTCAAATAAGAAAGCCTAACCTGGTGATTTTTTCTTGTAAAAAGCTATTTTTCAAGGTGAAATAATTTTAATGGCAAGTAAGTTTGTTTTCACAAATCGAAAACGTATTCACTTTGAGCAAAAGACAGAGGTCTAAGGCAGACATAAGCACCAAGTACAGGAGAGATTAAGTGAAAGTATTTTTTGTATTGTTCCTGAGCATTGAATCTAACAGAAGAAAGCAAACTACAAATACTAGTTACTAGTACTCAAATCCTCCAACAGAAAACCTAGCTCCTTATCCCCTACTGCCCTAATGTCAATGTTGAGGCATGGTCATAAGACTTTTAACAAGCACACGAAGGCTACTGTTTTTCAGCACACTGGTTTTCACAGCTCATACTTCCCCTGCAGAAAAATTATAATTTAACTTCTACCTCCTATACCTACCAGCCAGCCGAGGGGTGGCAGAGACAGCCTTTAAAAGCATGCATTCTGGGGTTCTAATGTCTCATTCTGTTTTAAGGCTCCCTCATGGGCTGATTTCTCTGCTTCTGGGACAATCATTAGCTTTATTTTTAACTCTGTTCTTTTATTAGGCTATTTGGTCTTTATTTTCCAGAGACAATGAAATCAAGTCTTGGTTCTTTCATAACTGCACAATTTTTAGATAGCAAGCAAGCAAGTATGTTACAATAAGCCTCTGGCTTTTCATAATCTATGGGTCCCATCTTTAAGGACACCACTGGCGGACTTGCTATGTTAAGCACGATGAACAAATTATCCTTGGAAGAATGCAGTCTGCTTCCAGACACATATTTCTCTAGCAGATAAACACACATCTAATCCATTCATAACTAAAGGCATTCAACACAATCTATACTTTGGAGAGTGCTCTAAAAAATGTAGTACTTGAACTTGCAGAAGGTGTTAGAGTGCTCTGTTGAAATCCTGCAGTAGTGTTTTCCAAAATACAAATCAAAACAAGAATCTCTTACAGTTTAATAGTCATCGTCACATACTGGCATGGAGGACAACCCCTATTTGTCCACCTTTCCTCCTTTGTTTGTGACACAGCTCCTTGAGAGCAATGGAGTCAAGGGGAGGATTCCATACTGCGGCTGCCCCCACCCTCTGCTGACCCAAGGTTGTGGCTTCAGAGGTGACTCTTATGAGTGACAGAGGAGACACAAGCAATGTGCTTGGTGCAAATTTAAATCAGTTTCTGAACCAGTTTAGAACCTCTTCAGGGTCACTGAAATCTGTCTTCTTTCCTGCTCCCAAAGTTACCATCAGTGTCACAGTAGTTGACAGCTTAACTTCATTTTTAGAACCATAGTAGGGGCAGAGGATTGGAGATTATATTTATTTGGCCTCCCATACCATGTCATGGGGACGATCCTATTCAGGCAGGAATTTATATCACACCAAATGCAGATTCTACACCAAAAAAGCAGAACTTAACTTGTAAGTAATTTGAGGTGACTTAATTCTTTCAAGAATTTTTTTATATATAAAATGTTTTTAATTATTTTTGAAAACATTTAAAAATTTTTGAGCACTTTTAATAAAAAAGGAAATTAAAATGGCACTGCATTCAGCTACTGTAGTGTCAAACAGCTACAACAGACAATAAAATCCTGGGGAAATCTGACTTTTTCCACTAAATGAGAACACTAAACAGGGATTGTTTTTGTCATTTATGGTATAGTAGAGTAAACTGCAGAACAAGAGTATTATTTCAACGTTAGTTGCACTACTCACATAAAAACCTTTCCTTCTTTTTAGTGTGGAGATCAGTGCTTATTCCAATTATATGCAAAATTATTAACTTCATGAAGTCTTATGATAAACAGTATGCATAATGTTTTAGACATCAAAACAATGAAAATAATCTGAGAAAGGAATATATTCAACAATGAAGCAGAATTACTAAACATAAAAAATAAATAACTTGTGTATAACTATGATTATCTGGTTAACACAAGCAGTTTCAACACAACCAAGAAAAAAGTGGTTACAGGAATACATAGTACTGTACACCCTTGCATATTTGTGATCATATATTAACAGCGAAGCAAACTACTTTCTGTCATAATATTTTCATGTAAGTGAATAAGAAATAGAACTAGCTCCTTGAGATCAATGGGCAATGCTACATAAGACAATTTCATCTGTCATTTTGATGACATTCTGTCTTTTGTTAATGAAACACATTTAAAAATTTAATCTGTAGACTGAAGGCACCAAGGGCTGCCGATCTCAGTGTGTTAAGTGTATCTACAACACCCACTTGTTACCCTGGGTACTGATCTCAGCTTTTTAAACTGCAGCAAATACAGCAGCAACCTGAGGACCCTTGTCCCTTTACCTTTTCTCTTGACTTTTAATTAACAGAGTCACCCACTTACCCTGACTAACTAGGGCCCACTGGGCCCCAGGTTTCATGCTGAGCAGTTAATGGACACGGGCTTTGCCTTTTTTGGGCACCTGCCACGCAAGAGTGGATAAGCCTCAAATAATGAATGACAAGTGTGATGAATGTCAGTCAGCAATGTGGGACGCCACAGACATAAACTATTAAGAATTGTGTACAGGAACAGTTGTCTTGATTTTTCTAACCTGTCTTTGCTGCCCTTCAGGTGGACACAAACGGTCCATTGAAAAGTAAGATCAAGCTCCACTTAGGTTGCCTGCCCTTACAGTTCCATTCCAATCTCAAAGAGTAAGCCCAGCTGGACTCATCTTTCATCTGATGTTTAATTACTCGGTATCCACGCTGACAGTCAAACTTGCTGAAAGTTTTTGTGAGTCTAAGCGCTTGCTTAATTCCTGGTTCCCACAGAGGTACATGAAGTAACTTGTTTATGTTAACAGAACAAAGGGAAGGAAAAGGAGCTCTCTGTTCCCCTGCAGGTTTATTTTAATTAGGTCATGAAACAAGTGTAACCAAATTTATTTCGGTTTATTTTAAATAAAAACGATCAAATCCTTTCAAAGTGTATAAAAACGATCAAATCCTTTCAAAGTGTATAAGAAAAGAGAAAAACAAGGAGGAAAAAGCCAAACTGTGAATACCAGCAGTTGGAGAGGTGGGATTATAGTGAGTCCTTTCACTGCCCACTTCGATGATGCCTCTACACTTTGTTTATGGGGTATATATACTCATACTCCATGATAGGTATTCCTTGCGTATTGTACCTGCCCCCACGTCTCTGGGTCCTGTTTTGTGCCCAGCTGTGCACACCCTGCTGGCTGGCTGGCTGGCATCCAGATAGGTTTGGCTAGTGGGAGGCACCGATGTCATGAGGCAAGACAGGGAAATGGGCATTTCCTCCACTCCCTTGATGATTAGGGGTGTCGTGGTCAGGAATGGCTGCATCCCACATAGCTCCACTGTGACTCCAGCCCTCCCAGGCTCCCTTCATCTCGACCTTTTGTTGTCCCCTAGTCCCCCCAGCATCACTGGGCGTTGTCCCAGGGGGCTAAGGCTGCCTGCTGCTGCTGTCTCTCCTATGGCACATCCCCTCTGGCTCGCCTAGCCAATCTGCCCCTTTAATGTAAGGATCCTTGGTTAAAAACACTAAGTGTGAACCAGCTGAGCTAATTCAGTGCCTTGCCTGTTTCAGGCAGACACGATTTCATGCTAACTCCAGAATCTCTGACCGTCAAAGCAGACCTCAGTTTGACTTCAGGTGCTTCTTCAGAACGGTGACCCTTGCTTTTTAATTTCATGGCATAATGTCGAATTTTAGTCCCTTTGTGATTACGATTGGTCTGAGTCAGATGGGTTGGAGCTCATTCCAAGCCAGAAATACATTTCACATTGCTTTGACTAATATATTAATTTACTCAATATTACTGAGCCACTTCCATGTATAATGTCTCAGGCACCAAAATTATAATGGTGAATAAAATAGTAAAAGTCCCTGTCCTCGTGGAGCTTATTTTCTAGCAAAGGAACAGATGGACTAACATCGTATGATCATAGCTTATCAATCCTGGCAAGAGACTTCAGGGTATTCTACTCTAACTCCTCATGACCTCTCTGACAGTCTTCATTGGTTATGACATCTCAGGAAGTGTGCACTGTGTCCGCTTAGATCCTGCTGATCACTAAGCAATGCATCCCTGATCAGATAACCCAGTCTACTTGGAGGGGAGGCAGTTCCTGTCTTTAAAGTACCTTCTCGCATTGTGCTGAAGCTCTTGAAGGACCATTCTACGAACACACAAGAGAAATCACACCTCTGATGTGTAGGGTCCTCAATTATGTGAGATGGATTCTAGGGTTTTCCATAGATATTTGCCCCTTCATTCAAATGTTTATTAAGGAACTGGCCCAGAGGATTCATGGGGAAGGTTATATCTTGAAGTTGTAGATATTGTGGGACAGCACTTAAAAATGGTGCTGCCCCTTGGTCACCTTCTCCCTGTGTGTCAACATTTTGTTTTCTTAGTGTTTCCACTGAAGTGTTTTCAGAATTGTCACACTGCTGATGTCAACTTACTACTGTAAAAATGTCTTCTGGGGAATAAATATGCTCCTCACTCTTCCAAGTCATACCCTTAGAAACAGCATTAGCACCGCTGTCCTTCAGGGCCATCTGAAGGCTGAGAAGTAACTGGAGGGAAGCCAGTGGAAAGAAAGGACCATCCAGGCTCTCTCACTTCCTGTAGGCACAGACTTCCTGTAGGTACATCTGGCATTAGGCCAGTGACCACCCAACCTAGATATTTTTCTTGCGTGCACACATACAATTGCATACTACAATTAATAATTTTGTTTACTCTTAACAGTGCCCCACCTCGAAAGTCCCTTCTACTTTTCTTCTCCATTCTGGTATAATCCTACTTTATAATCTGTTTACATGCATTTTCTGTCTTAGGTTATTTTCTTCCTCTAAACATGGAGCAGAGCTGCTTGGGCAATAATCGTGACATTGTTTTTGTGTAACCACTTGGACAAGGGTCTTATAAAATGTGGTTATAGTAAATCACAGTGTAATCTTCCCTGCCCAGCTTTTTCACCTAGATATAATCAGATTAAATTGAACATCAAAAGAGCCCTAAAGGAAGGGGTCACGAAAGGACAGACTGAGGAAAGGGGGAGCCCATTACTCTACTCACTCTTGATGCTTCTAGGGCCTTATTAACTGATCACATCCATCTGAGCTTTGTGTATTTCCTAGGTTACCCGACTTATTAACTATGAGACCTATGGCCAGGAGCAGCTGCCCAGACACAAAACTTCTACTTAGGAGTCTGCTCAGATGAAGACATAACAAAATGACAAACCTAACAAATTAAGCTGCTCTAGAGGACGGAAGAATTATGTTTCCACAATGACTACCAGTTTCCTCCTAGTGATTTAGTAATAAAAAATCATCCCCAGAGCTGAGCTTATTTTATGTAGTCAAAGTCAGCATGTGCTGCTTGTGAAACAATGTGTGGAAAGGACATAAGACCCACAGTTCAGATATGTGGAATGTCAGATCTACTGGACATGTTTATCATCTTGGCCAGGTCGCTAACCTCTTTGGATTCCACATTCCCTCTGGATTAGTGAAAAATGAGCTCTGGAGTCTCTGTCTGACATTTAAGAACACTTTCCAAACCCATGAATCAAAGATTCCACGATTTGGGGTGATGTGTCAACACTGTGACCTACTTCTTAACTCTGTGGACAGTTTCTCTTGAGAAACAACTTTAGGATCTTAAATGTGGATCTATTATAAAAAACCATGAGTTGGTGTGTGTGGTAGAAGCATGTGGCCTTCAGACAGGTATGCCAGCTTTTTCTTGCTGTGACAAACACCTGACATAAACAACTTAAAAAGAATGCAGATTTATTCTGGCTTATGGTTTCAGATTTTAGTTCACAGCTGGCTCCATTGCTTTTAGGTCTGTGGTGAGGCAGAAAGATCACGGCAGAAGGGGGCGGTGGAGGAGAGCTGCTCACCTCACAGCAGCCAGGAAATGAAATGGGAAAGAGCTCCTAGAGGAAGGGACTGGAGATAAAATATGCTCTGCAAAGTACACACCCAGTGACCTGCTTCCTGCAACAAGGCTCCGCCTCCTAATAACCCCTTCAGCCACAATTCACCAACAGATTAATCAATGAAGTTAAGCCTTTCAGAATCCAATCACCCCTCTCGGGCCACTTCTAAACACATGAGGTTTTTGAGAGACATTTGAGATATAAACCATAATAATGCAATAACCGATTTAAATTACTGATAATTCCTTAGGTGTCAGAATTTGTGAGAGACATCTTAATTTAGCAATTACCAGGAGAAAAAGGCCCTACAAAAATTCTCAACATCATCTAAAAGCAGCCCCATGTCTATTGTTCAGGTCATGCTTTTTATGTATTCAATGACATCATCTCCACTCTCTGCAAAATTGCGTTCTGAAAACCAGGTTATAAAGTGGATTATGAAATAGCTCCTTTTACCCATACGGGTGTTGTCATAACTTGTGGCTGCATCCCAACCAAGTACCTGCCCTAATATACCCTGGGAATAGCAGTAACACAGACACTGAGTGAACTATACAACTGCAAAACTATGCTTCTCTAACTAACGCAAAGTACAGTTGGTTTTAAATCATTCAACCCCTATGCTCGTCTGCAACAGTCATGATTAGAACAAAAGCATGCAATAAGGTGTCCTGGGTGAGCCTCTGTAGAGATCGAGTAAGTGAGGCTGGAAGGAAGATTCCTGGTAGTTGTCCCCAATCACGTCTACTTGCCATGATTGATTTATAAGGGGCTTGTCTAAGATGGCTCCCGGATGAAGAGTTCTGACAATATCTAAAACTGACATTCAGATAATTTTTAGGTGTGTATCACAGGTTCTACTCCAGGAGCTGAGGGTGGGCTTCTGGTAGTAACAAAAGACAGCAGCCTGGGCGAGACAAGAGGAAGAAAGACTGGACGGAATAAGCAATAGAGTGAGCAAAGGCCATGAGGCCCAGGGGACGTGCTGGTTACTGAGACTGTGTGTGGCTGTGGCTGTGGCTGTGGCTGATACTGTACGGGGTCCCACTGCCAACCAGTCTGGAAGCCTGCATGTGCCTTATGAAGAAAGAAGAGGCTGTGTGGCAGGAAACAAAAAGGGAAAAAATATTACAACAGAAATAGCCCAGTCAATTAGCAGCGAGGTCTTTTTATCCAGTGGAAGGAAGCACAGGGAAAAGAGACCCTTTCCCCGGGGAGAGAACAATGAGTTTCAGCAGCCCAGGAAGGGGACCAGGCCCACCAAGAGGATTCCTCTCCCTGGAATGGAGCTTGGAAACTGCATGCTCAGGACTGGGCTGCAGGGTGCTCCAGGGGAAGACAGGCAAGGGCGAGGTCCTGCCCTTGTGCTGGTGGGAAGGAGAACAGAGCCAGCAGAGTTTGATTATTATTTAAAGTGACTTCACTCAGAGGGGCTGGTGAGGTCTGGCTTGAGCCAAAGCCGGCCCCAGAAGCTGCGAATTGAGGCCCACAGATAAAAAGTATGACCTGCAGATCTGTTATGTGGTCAATGCTGGGTTTAAATGTCTTTAAATCAAAGTCTCGAGTTTAAAAAAAAAAATCAGACTTCTTACATAAAAATGAGGATTTTTAAGTGAGAGAAGCGTTTTCCCAAAACAGCAACAACTCCAAAGTACAAAACTCTGTTAGCACTAGTCTAACATTGCTGCTCAGCAGCAAAGATGGGGACCAGGCTGGCCTGCTTGCTTTAGCCTGACTGCGATGTCCAGTTTGCTGCAGTCCTCACCACTGTCTTTGGTGTTCTACCCTCCTGCTCTCTCTTTTAAATGATCTGTCTGGCTCCGGGGTATCTGATGCTGGATCACACACACGAATATCTAGATACAGGCCTGTATACTATGTTAGTACCCAGTGGTATAACATGGTTACACCAGTTCATCGCTTTTCAATCTGCGAGCCATATGAAAATGAAATGTAAGAAACAAAGCATCACGTTTTGCTGCTTTAGACAAGATTCATGGGGAAAAGCCATAAACCAATCTTCCTGTGATGGAAAGATTTGGTGAGGAAGGTGAAAGAAAGGAAGATGGTTTGGAGGGGCAGGGAGGGGGGAATATAAATAGCAAGTCAAGGAATGTTTTCATCTTTCCATTATTTATATGAACTAGTCTTAGCCTTCTAGTTGTTTTACATACCTATGTTTCAATAAAAATGTTAGAATTCACTTAGGGTTGAATAATAGAAATTAAGATAGAAGCAGCAGTTACCTGGGAGTTCTGCCAAACTAAATATCCAGGTAACTGGCATTGGAGTTTTTGACATTAAAAAATTTTAGAATTGCCTGACACACTTGTAATCTTAACTACTCTAGAGGCTAAGGCAGAAAGAACACAAATTCAAGCCCAGCCTGGGCAATTTGGCCCCCAGAAAATGATGCATTGAACTGCCTGATGACACTCTGGGATCCTGCCCATCTGCCCACCCTTACAGAAATATTGAAGCAGGAAATTATTTTTGATGGCCTTCTGAAAAATGGGCCAAGATCCATTCACTATAAATGACAAAATTTACGTAAAATGCTAGGTTTCTTTGGGGGGGGGTACCTTTTAAAAAATAACAGGGCAGAAGTTACACGTTAGAATTGGAGATTTTGGTTGGTCCCATCAAAATAAACAATGACCACACAACTAGACTTACAGGGAAGGAAAAAAGAATAAATGGTCTCTTCTAAGTTGGAAGAGCATTTGTGAATTTTGACGCAGATCACTGAAGAAGACAGCTGGAGGCATTAATCATCAGCATTTTTCCTAGAAAGGGAAGAAAGCCCCATCCTGTCCACCATACCAGTGTTTATTTCTTTCTGAACCCTGGAGATAAGAATTGTAATACGCAGAGGCCTTGGAGATTTGCAGACATCCCCAGTCTTTCTGCAGAAAGAAGGCCTCTGATATGTGATATCTTCCCCCGGGAGCAGGAGGAGGAGGGCCTGGGTGAGGGGGACAGAAAAACAAAACCAGCCACTTTCCTCTAATCCTGATGTAGAAGAAAAAGCAGAAAGCTAAAAGCTACCCCAAGGGAAAAGGTTACTGTAGGCTGCCTCGGAACTCGCCAGTCTGACAAACTTCAGGGTATTTAACATGCTCATGGAGATCTGTTCAGGAGGTGCCACACTGCAGAGCGTCCTCTAAGGGACTAAAAGCCCCTGGCAATGGCACGCATGCGCATGGGCTGGTCTTACCACCTGCCTCTCCACGCTTCTCTGGAAATCCGTGGCCAAGAAAGTACGGAAGAATGTGAGCTTTTCTCCTTCACGTGGGTAAATCTCACTCCATAATTTTATTTTTTTTAAAAGAGTTCCTCTTAAGCAAAACCATTTATAATGATGGTATCTTCAAAAAAGACTGCATTCCATTGTATCGTAGACATTTTGATTTAATCCGTTTAGACATTTTCTGATACTTGTAAACCAAATGCTTGCTGAAGGAAACTGGCAATGGTTAGCACACGGTTTAAACCAACATTTCCCCAAATGTGATCTAACTCCTCCTAAGTCAGTCCTGTGGATTGACTTGTGCTCTCCCTGACCAAACGTCAAAGACCTGATAATCCAAGACAGTAATTAAAGTTAAATGAAATAAGGGTGAGGTCCTAGACCAAAGAGGAAGAGACAGTAGAGATTTTATTTTCCCTGTTTCCTCACCCCAATTAGGTAAAGTTTTAAGAGACTAAGCACTTGTTTGATATTATTGTATGTGAAGATATGCTCAACTATTTCAAAGAAAGAGATATGGTAGCTACTGTTAACACCCGGTTGTCTTGTTGTGAAGTGCTGTTTCGCTTATATTGTTGTTTTCTGATTTGCTTTGTTCTGTCCTCTTTTGTTTTATTCTCCTTAAAATAAAATTTTAAAAAAGTGGCCCCACAAAGGAATGAAAGATTATAATAGTACTAGTCAAGGATTATGCTGAAGTCCAAGATGAGGTTAATTGTAGGAAAAACCTCTTCTGACTCCAGACTGGGCTTTTCCGGAAGGGACAAGAAGGACCCTTGAGGCCCATGTGAGATGCTACCCAGTCCCACTGGAAGGAAACCAGATGGAGGGTTGGGCTGGAGGTCATAGATGAAATTAAGAGTATGTTTGTGGCGTGGGCACTTCCTGATTTCACAAGAAAGGTTGCTGAGTGCTGGTCAAAGAATGAACTACGATTCATTTTCAATAACCTCACAGGTAAAAGATGAAGTTGGACCATCAACCATTGAGAATACTTTCAACTCTGAAGTTCAAGATACAGTGAAAACTGAATATTTACTACTGTTACACCTGCAGTCTTTTAAAACTCCTAAAGAAAATAGGAATCCCTCTTCTGCTTGTATCTCTCTCTCTCTCTCTCTCTTTCTTTTAACCAGAGTGAGGTTTTTACTATGTCAGCCTATTTGAAAAGACTTTAATTAATTTAGTTACATTTTCAGGGACAACAATAGGATAAAAGGAAATTCAAAGGCACCATGTACATTGAACTACATAAAAACACTACATAAATCCTGTAAGTCTTCAATTGAACACTGTTTTAAAACAGCTTTTTTGGCAGGCATGGTGGCAGTCATCTATAATCCCAGCACTCTGGAGGCTGAGGCAGGAGGATTGCTATAAATTAGAGGCCACCTTGGACTATATAGTGAGTTTAGTTGCAGCCTGAACTGTACAGGGAGACCCTGTCTCAAAAAAACAAAACAAAACGAAACAAAACAAAACAGCCTTTTCTCTGGAAAGTGAGCCTGGTGCACTAATATTTTTCTTTTAAAGTGATTCACAGGTATTGTCAGGGTAGAAAGCCACAAGCATGCTGCAAGGATGTTACCATACATCCTAATTAAGGTAAAATCACAAATCAATATTCTAAAGCTTAATACATACTACAAGAAGGAACTCTTTCATAGATATTTTGTAATGAACCCAGCAAATGTATATGTATCAACTCCCTAAGATGAATGTAGTTATGTACTGCAAACATGTATTAATAAACATTTAAAAAATTTTAAGTATTAAGTAGGTAAAAATTTAGGAACCCTTGGTGTACAATCTGTGTATTCTAACCTGCTCCCATTTGAATAAAGTTATAACAAGGAGATAGATAAGGAGAGGATAGGGAGGGCTTTATCAGGAAACTGAGTTTGGGTTTGGCAGCTTCTTGATATCTCTCCAAGAATTGGCCGTTTTCTTATCTAAAAGCCGGTATGCCTCAAAGGAAAATGATGAAGATCAAAATACAGGCACAGGTGAGACTTCTTTGATTTTTCTATCTACAAAATGAGAAAAGCATTGTTGATGGTAAGAGGCCCCCACTGCCTTTTGTAAAGTGTAAATGCTGCCACTAAACTCACTATATAGCCCAGGATGGCCTCGAACTTGCAGCAATCCTCCTGCCTCAGCCTCCTAAGTGCTGGGATTACAGATGTGTGCCACCATACCTGGTGAAAAAGCTGTTTTTAAAACAGGAATTTTAACAATGACTGTGTTATTCAGTTGTGTTTTTAAAGTAGCAAAAGATATCAATGTCTCATTTGTTGAAAAGATTTTAAAAGAATTACCTCTAAAGTCAAGATGTTAAAAAGAATAAATAATGGAGTAAGATACACCTATTTGCAAATGATAGACTTAAATGACTTACTATATGATCATGACTTTTAATTTCAGTCAACCTCAGGATCTTTAAGTTCAGGGAATCATCTTGTTTTACAAGGCTACCTTTTAATTTGATGTAACAATTATAAAACACAGACCATGTAGCATGCATGGATATACCATCTTTACCACACTAAGGGTTCCACTACATCAGCCAAATGAAAAAGACTTAACAGCCACTCAGTTGAATTAGCTGCCTTCCTATTGTGAATAGAAAACTGTCAAAATATTTAAAAGAAACCTCAAAACAAATAATGCTAAGTTTGTTTTATTTATTTCTTTTCTGGTTCTAACATGGAAGGAATCACACATCTCCTCATTGGTAAACAATCAATGCCTTCCTAAAGAATTGTTGCTTGTTCATTAAAAATTTATCTACTTTGCCAACTACATAATGTGAGACCTTCTGATGACTTCAAGTTTTTAAAATCATTACATTATTATCTTATTTTCATAGAAGTCTTTAAGAGTATTTTAGTATATAGCTGAAGTATAGGAAATAAAGGAATATAAACTATAATCCATCCTCAAAATTACAGACAGTTTGAGGGGGAAAGAGACAAATACTCTACTAGCTAATGAGTGAGCACATTCTAGGTACGAGGTGGTGTTCTTCAAGCTTTTGTCTGATTCCTCACAACTCTTTCAGGGCACACATACTGTGCTGGTGCACAGTAGGTTCCAGTGGTGGCTTGGGTGTGCACTGTTATGAAGTAGAGGCATCAGGACTTGAATTCAGGCAGTCAGACCTCACAGTCTGTCCTTTTAATCACTATGCAAAACTGCCAACCATGTACATTTGCATTATAGATTTCTAGAATTAGAGAGCTTGGGATATGTACGTAAGCTGTTCATTATCATTTTTTTCATTTTATAGGAGAGACAAAAGCCTGGAAGAAGATCACAGTAGGTCATCTGTCTCCTGGTGCTCAAAGCTTAGGTCTTAGTCACTTCCCTCTTCACTGGGACACAATACTCAGTACCCACAGTTTAAAGTAGGAAAAATTTATTTTGGTTCACATTTGTAGTTCATAGAGCTGAGTCCAAGATAGGATGGCAAAGCAGATGAGATGCTGCTCATGTCACGGGGGAGGAGAAGCAGAGACAGAATGAACTGAGGAGGGAGATTAAATCCCTCTAGGCCATGCCCACATTCACCACTTCTGGCCAGACCCGACCTCCTAACCATCAGCCATCTATCTATCAGTCTGTACACCTAATCACCATGCAAAAATTCCTCCTATGAGCACATGACATTCTTTAGCAACATCTAGATATAAAACATAACATTGTACCCCTTATCACCAAAAGACTCAGATGCATCTTTTTATGCAAATTGTATTTAGTCCAATTGTAAGAGTTGCCAAAATCCTAACATTTCCTGTATTGGTGAAAAGACTAAATCAAAAGTTGCCTTTGAGACTTATGACAAATTCTAAGCTGGGAGATCCTGGAAAAATCAAAAGAAAATTAAACACTGACACTCAAAGGCACAGGGCACACATTCCTATTCCTAAAGGGAGGAATGGGGGAATAGAAACCAATGGGACAAAAACAAGCTCAAAAGTCAGCAGGGCAAATATTAAATCATATAGTTTCATGTCCAGCACCCATGGTGAGCTGTGACGAGATGTGAACTCCAAAGAACTTGGTTGATGCTGCCCCTAAAGGTTGATGGTGGCTGCAGTTGCCAGAGATTCTTTCTTGGGTTGGTTTTACTCACTGCCTGCTGCTTTCTTCAGATGTTCCATGATCTGCAACTTTCTGAGGTCTCCACTGAACTTTTAGCTTCACTTCCACAGCTTCACTCACTTCTCTCGCGGGAGCACATTGCCAAGCTTCCCAGGCCTTTCTCTGAAATCTGAGGGAAAGCCTTCTTGACCCTACAACTTCTGCATTCTGCATGCTTGTAAAACTAGCATCACATGATTGAGACCAAGGTCTGCTGCCAGCTCGAGCAGTAGCTAGGCCCTCTTGGGCCATGGCTCCAGAGGCGTCCAATACCTAGATGAGTGATCACTGTGAACTGAATTCAGGGAACAAATTCCCTAGGCTGTCATCCTGGAGCACAGTACCTTGGGGCTCTCTTCTCAAAGGAAAGTCTTTACTTTTACAAGTTTAAATCTGCAAGTGGCAGGGCTCTGCTATTTCTAGACATGACCTTCAACCATTTTTCCTATGCCTTGATCCAAAGTACTTGGTTTCTTTTTAATACTAATAATCTCTCTTCTGCTCCATCTTTGCAGGTGCCTTCTTTCTGGAAAAACCAAAACTTTTAAAATAGGCTTTTATTCTTGAATAAAACAATATGCATGCCACAGCCCCAACACTAGGCTGCCTTGAAATTTCCTCTCCAACATTAGTTAACTGCCTTTAATCTCAGTCTCCAGTCTCCAGTTGAGGACACGAACAAAATGTAGACAAAAGTTTTTCCAGCACATAATACATGTGGTCTCAAATCCAACTGCCAATGAAGTCTTTCTTCCCAACTGAAACCTGCTGAACCTGGTCTCATATTGTCTGCCTTTATATTGGCAGATTGGTCTTCTGAGCTCTGTCCAGAGTCTCCTATCAAGTTTGACTTACAGTATTCTGGGTCCTCTTCAGCCAGCATTTCCAAACCATCCCAGACTACTGCTATAAACCACTTCCAAAGGCTTTTGAACCACAGGGCTGATTAGGAAGCATCATGGCAATGACCCCACTTCTTTGATACCAAAATTTGCCTTGGTCAATTTCCTCCTTTAAGTTGTCAGTGTTGAGTATTTTGTTCCAAGGACAAGGAAATTAACTAGAACAGCTGGTATTAGAAAGTCCCATAAGAACTGCTCAGGCCCATATTCTTTGGGCCTGGAGTAGGAGCCTGAGGATTACTAACAAGTTCCTAGGTGATTAATGCCCTATCCTGAGGACACATACTGAGTAAATGATGTACTTAGCCAGTGGCATCTTCCATATAGAGCCACTGCTCTCTAACGAGGAGGCCACAGGCAGCCTGAGCCAGCCTGGGATGGTCCCCAGTCTGTGCCTAGCTGGCACACATGGGAAGCCTCTCTCTGGTTTGCACCCCGTGACTGACTCTGATACTGGATTTCACGAAGCCCCTGTGTATCACTGACAGCACACAGGCAATGTGAAACAGTGGGAACCTGCTTACTGCCAAGGAAAATTATTATTCTCCCTGTGAGTTATTTACCAAAACCAGTGATCTAAAATTTGGCTCCACTGATGCTTAAACATAGCAGGAATTAGCACAAATAGCAAGGGCCATGGGTAACTGCCAGTATTTATCCTCAAAAGGGAAGGACAACTAGACAATTTCAAAGTTTTCCTTTATTTACATTATAAATCAAAAGGAAAGTTTGTGTTTGTTTAGCTAAGAGGGTCCCTTGCTTTCATTAAGAGCTCTAGTAAATGGTTTTGAAAAGAGGGAGAATGTTTATTGTTTAAATGTGCCATGTTTGAAATTGCTTATTTTTGTGGCCTTATAAGGTTCTTGAGGCTTCAGTCTGTAATGAGGGCAAGGTATGACCAGGCCTTGCATATGCTGAATACTCTCAGCGCAACAGTGAGCTGTCAGCATTGGGTCCTGTTATTTGGGAGAGCTCAGGGTTTGGCCATTTGCATAAGTAAGAGGGACACAGCCAAGTGGTGTGATCTGAGTTGAGTAGATATAATCAAAAATCTTCCTTCCATCTTAGCAAGAGGATTTAGAGAGAATGGTACTCTAGAAGCACTTCTGGGGACAAAGCAATTATTTGTTACATAAGGAAATCTTCCCAGGACCCAGTGCTCAGTAGTCACCTCACACTGAGTCAAAGCATTCCTTCTTTGGTACCTGTCAGACACTAAATACTTCAGGTAAGTGTTCTGGAGAATATTCACACTTTTTGTTTGTTTAAGATAAATATAAATCCATGGGAAATTGAAAAAAATCACAAATGATTTCCCATACCCTGCATTGAATTTCCCCAGAGGTAACTCACACAGAACTACAACACAACAGCACACACTGACTTCAAACCAGTCCAAAGGCCACATTCAGATGCTGTCAGTTTTAAGGCCAGTTACATGTTGCATGTGAAGAAACAAAAAAGAAGTGTAAGGGTGACAAACACAAACACCACTTTTATATCATCTGATATTACTTTGAAATTTGATACATTTTAAACGAATTATATAAAACTCTGTAAAAAAATCAGACTCTTCTGAGATGGAGCTTAACAATGATAATCAAACCAATCTGTTTTTCAAATCATCTGTAGATACTAACACTCTTAACGTAAGAAAGGAACCTGAGATTTGACATCCATACAACCTAACCCACATAGTTCCATCTTAAACACACAGATAGTTTACACAGTTGTTAGAACAGAAGAAATGAAGAGCTTTAGAGCTTTACATGTTGCCTGGCGTATAGTGCCATTTATAGATACTGTATTTGTATTTTATTACGCTTCTCCACATAATCATTAGCAGCTTCATTACTATATTTGTTTTTTTTTTTTTTTTTTTTTTTTTTTTTTTTTTGTCTTTTTCCTTTTCATCGGTACCGGGGATCGACATTACTATATTTGTAACCCACTAATCATTTTATTAAAGGTATATAAAACATTGTCTTTGAGCACACTCTCTTTATATTGTGCTTACATACATACAAACACACACATACGGAAATAATGAAATTGGATTTTAAATGAACCGGATTAGGTAAGGTTTTATTACATATCTCATTTTTATAACATATAACCAGGTCAAACCATTAATACTAATATGCCGACAACTTCTTTAATTAATAAAACTGATAGAACATGAACAAAATTGATGTACCATGAGGTAGTTCACAATTGATCTCCTTTGTTGATAAATTATCCAACATTGGCTTTTAACCATAGCATTATGTTAAAGAGAAAAAATAAAAGCCTATCAGAAGAACAAAATGCCTTGAGAAATTCATGAGAAGCAGATTCCCAGGTCTACAAAAAGAACTGAACTTACTTTCCCAACCAGGTACCCATGCAGGAACATTTTTTATTCTTCCTCATAAGGAAGCTGCTCTGGTATTAGAAAACATAACACAGCTTTTTCCTTTGCACCATAGGAGACTGTCTGTGTCCTCTCTATGCAATGAGGCTGGCCAGGGTAAACAGATGTTTCAATCAGTGGAGAAGCCAAACTCTCTTCCACTGTACACAAGAGCTAATCCCTCCTCACCCCCTGCTGGGGTCATCTGAATTCTGCACAACCAAGCAGAACCTCTGCAAAAGAGTTTCTCTCTGCCAGGGCCAGCTCTAGACAAGAATCTGAAATAGGAGAAACTTGTCACCAACGAGAGTGTTGGCGCCACCTTCCAGAATTCAGGCACCTCATGCATCTCAGTTGAGTGTCCTTGAATCTACTCTACTCTGTCTCCACTCTGCAAAGATTTCCATGAAACCAAGACAGCTAAAATAACCTGCCATGGCTAGAGAGCTAGAGTTTAGCAAGCCTAAGTCCAAGCTCAGGGCTCTTTCCACTGCCCACAGCATGGCAACCTGATGTGTACATCTAAGTAGATGAAATTTTACTATTTTATCCATTTTTTTAAGCTCAAGAATTTACAAATTGTTTCTAATGGTCCTTACTGTTTCAGAATTAAATAATCACATGTATTCTATTTCAGTGCTGGGAGAACTTTTAAATTGCTCAAAAGTATTTAAAAATTTTTACATGGTTTCCAAACATTAGCAGAATGTAACAATCTGCTGGTCATAGCCTGATTTTTTCATACTTTTCTGGAATTCAAAAGTAACTTCATTCTTTGAAATTATTACTCTTCTATTTAATAGGTGAAATATTAAACAGCACTCCCTGGCATAGCTTTAACAGTTGATTTCTGAAACCACAAAAGTAATACCAGGGCCACCAGAGGACTCAGTCTTATGAACACGAAGAGTACTTTTAAAGAATACTTGTTATGAGACATTTTCCTCTTGCAGATGATTTCTTATGTCTCGGAATTGAAAAGCACTTGTGCAATTATGCTCATGAATGCTCATCTTTGGGTTGGCTAGTGATCCTTCTAGTACACTTTGCAGAGATGCTGGGTTCTAGGACACATACACAAGGTCAGGTCAGTGAGCTAATGAAAAATGGACACTAATGCATGCTCAAAAAATGCAGGAAGTGTGTGTGCATTGGTGAGTTTGTGTGTAATCAGTGTGTAAACGCTTTGAAGTGTTTAAGGTGAGATTAACAAGTGTCTAAATGTCATCCTGTAAATGCAAATTAAAAACTGCAGATTTCCCTCTAGCACTGGCAGTCTGCCATCCCTGCAGGCTGTCAAGAAGCTCAGGGCTTCAGGGAGAGGGGGGGAATAAAGACACCTCGCCTAGCGCATTCTGCTCCTCCCTGTCTCCAGCATTAGTGGCAGTTTCTAGGTTTCCCTGTGAATTCCTGCTAGACTGCCTAGGAATTTCCATTTAAACTGTCAGAGAAATAATTTAAAGCGTGTATGGACTTTAAAAAATATTTACAGAAAGATGTCATGCTACAGTATTCTCTGTGATCTGAGTTCTTCCTTATCCCAATCTTGATATGTAGCCAGGGTCTGGGGTGATATTTTAGGCAATGTTTTCTGTACTCATCGCATAACATACATAGAGATTGCCCCAGGTTCTCTTGCCTTTTGAAAAGAGTCAAGGCAATGACAAATGCATATTTTTTAAGGTAAAGATTCTAAATTTGAATTATTCTTTTTATGGTTTTCTCTTTCTTGCTAGAACATGTGACTTCAATAAACATACTCTGTCACTTTACTGATATTTACACACAAAATCTCCCTTGATTCAAAAGCAGCATATTTTGTTTCAAGAAAATTTCAATGATTAGATATATAATTGATATATAAAGTTGATGAAAGAAGTCAGCTCTCCATAAAAAAAATTAATGGACATTTGGGAACTTATTTTTGTTAGGCACTGCAGGTGACAGGCATGGTCTCAACCTTTGTAAGAATTTTGCTGTCCCCAGCATAAACTCTTTTTTTTCCCCTAGTACTGGAGATTTCTCATGCCAGGCAAATGCTCTGCTACTCTGAGCTACATCCTCAGCCCTTGTCCTCAATATAAATATTGGCAATCAGAGGCTTTGGCAAGCTATTTTACAAATCCAAGATTACACAACCAATAAGCAGACGATCCAGCATTCTATTCAAGTCTGTTTACTACAGTGCTAGTTCACTGCCCTATTCATTAAAATTTCAAGGAAAGTGGAACTTGAAGTCCTTTTATTCTATAGGGAAGAAATGCTTTTCATAGTCTAAGTTCCTAGTCTGAGGAATGGAGATATATTTCTAGTGAATTTCTAATATTTTCTACACCCTTATCTGAAACTAAAACCAAGTAACAGCAACTAGGCATGGAAAAATCAAAGGACAATGTGTTATACTTGGAGATTCTCAGAAGTTTTTCAAAATTGTCAAGTATGAAAAGTTACATTTGCAAAAACAGCAAGCTAAATTCAAGTTCCAGGAGCATAAATCATGGAGCAATCATTTTTTGCAATGAAAATGGAAATCAGGTAGAATAAATATTGTTCTTTGGAACAGAAACTTGTTGCTGAGCCTCACCATGGAGCAAAGGACTTACAAACTTTGAAAAAATAGGGTTCACATGGAAACAAAAACATAACAGGAACTCCAATAGGGTGACTAGCAGATTCTGTGTGTCTTCCCAATTCTTTTAAAAGCTAATTTTCTAAAAGGCTATTAAAATGTCAATGTAGAGATAATAAAACTCTATGATTTAGTATTCTATGGGGAAATGCTTAGTATTTTTGACTTTGGTTTTGTAAAAATTGACTAGCATCAAAGACAGAAAGCAGTTGCAGGGGTCAGGAAGCACTAATTATTAAGAATTCACTAGACAACTTCTAGAAGATGGAATTCACTGAGTCATAAAGACTGCATAATGACTGATAGAGTAACACTTAGTATGTACAGTTGCTTTTTCTTTTCAAATCAACCTAGTTAATACAACGGTAATTCCTACGAGGCAGGTGCTTACCTTGTTTTTGAGGAAAACAGGGCACTAAACATGAAGTGAAATTTCACAGTCACACAACTAGCAAGTGGTGAAACTAGCCTTTGAACCCTGATGGTTTAACTCTGGCATTGGAACTTGTAGGTTGTGTGCTAAGACGACCACCTGCATCGGAGTCCTGCATCAGAACAGGCACTGTCCCCATCGTATGCATTAATGGTGGACATAAAACAGGAATTTCTCCATATTCATTTGGCAAAGTTTCTTCTAACCTAGATGTGTGGTGCTGGTCTCAATGGGTGCCTAGTCCACAGAAAAAAAATCAGGGGACCCAGGCCAACTCTAGGGAGCAAGGAGAAAGATGACAACAAGGGAAGCAATAATTACATATGAACCTGTCCCAGTGAACTCCCATTTTCCTGGAGTGCTGTTCATGTCCTTTACCATTTCATCCAGCTCTCAAGCTAGTGACAAGGTCCTTGAGACCCTGAGCTGGGGCACACATGACTCTATCACCTTCATGGCTTTGTAGATGGCAAAATAAGTGTTCTACTTATTTATCACGTGATTTGTGAGCATTAAGCTAGCTCTTGGAGAAAGCGATGGGTGAGGATACGCAGAGACAAGGGGTGAGAAGGTGGTCGAGTGCTGGAGAACAAATTCAGATTATGGAGCGATGGAACACATGGGGAGCATTTGGCCTGAACTGAGGAGTGGAGCTGAAGTGTGACCAAAGTGAGGGTAGTTACGAAGGCAGGACTTTAGGGTCTCTATTGAGTAATTCGAAGGTGAATTCTATGGGCAATCTGGATTCCTGGCTGATAATGCAAAGGAAAAAAGAATCTTCCAAGGCTTTGTTTGCGGATATGAGACCATCCTAGTTTTAAAATCAGAATGATCAGAGAAAGCCAAAAGTTGAGAAGCAATTTCCAGGAAGCAGAAAGGACAGTGATCAAGTCATACATTTTAATATTTTATTATTTTTAGACATGCTGAGCAGCAGACCACCAGTATATAAACACATGCATCTTTGTGCAAAACTGACATAGCAGAAGAGATAGGAAGAGAGAGAGAGAGAGAGAGAGAGAGAGAGAGAGAGAGAGACACTACCTCCTGCTCTCCCTTTCCTCCTTAGTCCACAGAGCCCTGGGGAAGATTCTGCAAGTTTCTGCCAGGCCTTTTGGAACAGAACCCGTCTCACATCTTGAGTACAGAGTGAGAAAGACCAATCAGATGGTGAATTTCGTGACCATGGGCTCAGGTCAGCAGAAGGGGGTGAGGTTGACCATGCCTATTACAGAACTCCAGGTCCAAAATTCATTCATGCTTATTAGATTTGGGACAAATTTCCGAGTCCCAGTTGCTTTTGTGTGAAATGGGGGCTTTTAGCATTCGTTATAGATTGCTAAAAGGATCAAGATAATATGTACATGTAAAGCATTTAGCCCAGTGTCCTGGTACGCTCTTCAGTGCTGCAACTAGTATTTCTTAGATTCTGCATTTGTCTGGTTGGTGTTTATTAATCGCAGAGCCAAACTAACAGCCACAAGTTTCTTCCATCTGTTCTGCAATTGGGAGCTCACATTCTGGAACACCTCCTTCCCCAACCCCCACAGACAAAGCCAGTAATTCCCCTCCCCTAAACCAACTCAGGTACGGGAAAACCAGGGAGAGCCTCGATGACCCAAGGCCCACTGGAATTAGTCAATCAGGTCAGCCCTCAGCTGTTTACTGGCCCTGCCTTACATTTCTCACGCCAGCCTCAATGTAGGATCCAGCCTAGGGCTTTTCCCTGCTCCTTTCTGCCTCCTGACAAACACTGCTGCTCCCACGTAGCCTCCATGCTGTGGAAGGCCACTCCTATTGAGAAATGCCAGTAAGAAAAGCTCCTTTCAATGACAGCACTGTCTCCATGTTGTTACATGATCACCTCCATAAATTAAAATCCCACAGATAATAGACAGTACTTATAATAACATTCACTTAGGCCATAAAATAGAATCAGTTAACTTTGCTTACATCTCTTCAATCTATCTTTTATCTCTACTTTCTTTACTTTTTGTCTGAGTCACTGCAGTAACCTTCTTCATGTGACTTGCTAGACCCCGTCTCTTGCTCTCTCAAGCCATCTCTCTACACAGCTATCTTTTAATACTCTGGATGCAGGACACTAAGCGGGGAAACCTCATGAGAGCCCTCCAGGTTTGTGGATCAAGCTCAAGTTCCTTAACTTGGCACCGAGGCCTTCTGGGTTGTGCTCTGCACTTGCAGCTGTACTGGACAGTACACGGAGGTCATTAGCTTTTCACAGCTGTCCACCTGTGCTCATGCTGATGCCCTTCCCAAGCTCTCTAACTGGGGAAATCACCGGAGCATTTGGGGGTTTTAGACTTGCTAAATTGAATAGTGTAACTGCATAAATTAACGTTGAATCTTTAACTTAGAACCCTGGTGAGTTTAAAAATAAAAGCACTGAATTCTTCAGTCTGAAAGACTGAAATATTTACTTCAAATATTCACCTTTAGTTTCAGGGTTAAAAGTACTATCCTCCAGATGGTTAGGTAGGTCTAATTCAAATTCTATGTGCTCTGGAAACTCTATGCACATTCTTAAAACAAATCTTTTTTTTTTTTTTTTTTTTTTTTTTTGGTCTTTTTGAGACAAGATCTTGCTATGCAGTTCAGGCTGGTCTTGGGCTCACTTTGTAGCCCAGGCTGGTCTCAAACTTGCAACTATCCTCCTGTTTAGTCTCATGCCACACTCAACTAAAACATATCATTTCTTCCTTGGATGCTCATTTAACACTTACTTAAATCTCCTTATTTGTATTATATTTGCTGTATTACTTATAATTGCTTTCTCTGGATCATATTTTTTATTAGGTTGAGGAGAAACCCCAGGAATTCTTTTTCTTCTGGAAAATCCATTAGTTTTATATGTAGCAGAGGCTCAGAAAATATTTATTGAATCTCAGCCCCATGATTATTCTAATTAAAATAAGAAGCTATTCCTAAATGGTAATTACACAGTTAATTATAAGGAAATATGAGAACAGAGTTATATAGCTAAAGTTAAATAGCTAAAGTTAATTAAAATAAGTATAGGTCAGAGTATGAATTTGTTAAATTCCACCAGAAAACAGTAATAGATATCGTAAATTCTTTTACAGCATTACTGCCATATTTAATAATTACCATTAATTAAAGATGGAATTAAATTTATTTTTTCCTTTACAAAGATAAAATTCTTTTAGTATAAAAACAAACTGAACACTAAGTTGTGATTGCACAATTTCTGCCTCCATTTTATCCATCCTAAAGTTGCTAGACCAAACCTGAGGTAAGATTAAACATTCTAGTGGAAATTTGCAGATCTCTAACCAGACTCCCTCAAAATACTCCCATTTCTAAATTGGGAAATGGCCTGCCAGCTGGCTAGACAAGAACTCAGAGCCATCCTTGGCCCCTGGTTCTTCCAAACCTCAATGGATGTTTAACAAGGACATCAGGTTTGGGTAGGAATTACAGTGGCTCAGTCACACTCTCTCTAATGGCTACTCAAACCTTCCAAGTGCTCAATAAAAATTTGGTGATTAGCTGACTTCATCGTCTGACTTTTCTCCCAGTGTAATTGTTGCCTGAGATTTACAACCACCTCTCCCCGCTTAGGTGGGTGGCTAGGCTTGGGAAAGAAGGAGAACCATTCCACTGACACAACCTCCTCCTGGCTGACAGGAAGCAACAAATAGTGGTTTAGAAAAAACTTTCAACAACTGCTCAAACATGATTACAGGTTGTCACTAAGAAAGGGGGAAGCGAGGGCTTTCTTTTCAACTACAGGGCGTACAGCACTACAGACAGAAATGATTATTTTCTATTTGGGCCAATCGTAGTCTGCAGGCCTTTGAAATGTAAAAAGCTATAACAACTTAAGTACTCAGTATGACTTGGAGAGCATCAGGAGAGATTATACAGACCATCAACGAAAACCAGACTCCTGACTTTACGACATCTTGAATTTCGTGTTTCTGAAGCCACTGCTATCAGATGCTCAGAGCGCTGACTCTGGACAGACACTGGAAAGGGTAAAATTGGATGGTTTCAAGAGATGGATCTCTAACTGGGCTCATCGGGTAGATAAGAGGAGGAGACCTTGGGACAGTAAACACCACCAGCTGCACATGCTGAGCTGAAATAGGCAACACAACCCACAGGCCTTTCAGCTATTCAGAGGAGGCAGGGGCCTAGCAGGAAGAGGCTTTCCTGAGGAAGGAGAATAGAATTTATGAAAAAATGTATACACTAGAATCACCATGATTTCACTCTACAAAGTGAAGAAGTTGGATGCAGTTTAAAATTTGCAAATGTTTGCTCTTGATTTGGTATCTGGGAGACTGGGTAGGTAACTCATCCAAAGCAAAGACAGTTTGCGACAATGTTTAATTGTCATCCTAGGGGCGAATCTGTTTACCTCATTCTTTTTTTTCGTCTTTTTTGTTTTTACCGGTACCAGGGATCAAACTCACGACTGCCTGCTTGCAAGGCACTCACTTATGCCGCTGAGCTAAATCCCCAGCCCCTGTATACCTCATTCTTACACATATCCATAACTTTTGAAATAGCTGAAGCATAGGAAGAGCATGTTTCTCTGCAGGTTCACATCACAGATTCAATTAACTGTGATTTGAAAACATCTAGAAAAAAATGTTTGCATCTGTACTGAATTTGTGGAGACTTTTTTTTGCCATTATTTCCTAAACAATAGATTATGACTATTTATATAGCGTTTAAATTATATTAGATATTATAAATACCTTAGAGATGATTTAACGTATATGGGAGGGTGCATAGATTATACACAAATATGCCATTTTATGTAAAGTACTTGAGCAGAGTAGGTTTTGGTATCCACAGGGGTCTTGCAACCAATCTGTCAAAGCCACTGAAGATGACTACCTATATGCAGTTCGTCCCCTCAGCCATGGATTCCAGTGACCTTTTACCACATACCATGGATGCCTTAAAAACATTATGTTGGATGAAAAACACCAGGAAAGGATACATATTGTATAATTCTCCTTACTCAGATTATCTAGACTAGGCAAATTCAGAGACAGAAAGCAGATTCAAGTTTATCAAAGGCTGGATGGGGAAGATGGGATGTCACCACTTAATAATTAGAGAATTTCTGTTCGGGACAATGAAATGTTTTGGAAACAGTATGATGGTTGCACAGCACTGTGCACTGATTTTAATCAGTGCTCCTGAAATGTATACCTAAACTGGCTAAGAAAGCAAATGATATGTTTTCTATATATCCTACTACAGCTTATACAGTGAATAATGTGATATGTTGGAAATCATTGAATTGCGCACTTTATTTATTTATTTATTTTTGGTCTTTTTTGAGACAGGGTCTCCCTATGCAGTTCAGGCTGGCCTTGAGCTCACTTTGTAGCCCAGGCTGGTCTCGAACTCGCAATGATCCTCCCACTTCAGCCTCCCAAGTGCTTCGATTACAGGCGTGAGCTACCACGCCCAAATTGCACACTTTAAATGGGTAAATTGTGTTGCATGCTAATTATATCTCAATATAACTGTTCTAAAATACCCATAATGGGTATAGAGTAGAGGTGGATAGGAGGAATAATATCTAATGATCCATAACATAATAAGATAAGTATGGCTGACAGCATTTAATTGCATATTTCAAAATAGCTAGCAGAGAGGATTATGAATGCTCCCAAAACAAAGAAATTACAAATTTGGAGGTGATGGATATGACAACTACTCTGATTTCATTATTACACATTTATGCATGTGGATTAAAATATCACACAATCCCACACATATGTACAATCATGTATCAAAAATATTGAGGATCATTATGTATTGATTTTAAAAATCTCTTACATGTTAGCACGTTAATTTGCTTGTAAGGTTCTGAATATTATTATAGAAATTTACCAAATCTGTCAGGAGGATAAAGGATAGAAGAGAAAATGCTGGACTAAGACTGAGAAATGAGTCCAGGCCCTGCTGTGCAGTACACTGGCCATGGTTTCTGAGGTACTGAATAATCAGCTTCCTGGGGCTCTTTCCTCACCTATGAACAAAACAGCAGAATCAGGTACTTGAGTTTTGAAACACTATGAGTCACATGTCTCTCTGAGTTTACAAATAATAATTCTCTGGCAGTCTAGAACACAGAACAGATTTCTATGTTTGAGAAACCTAGTTAAATGATTAATTGATTCTCTTGCAATGAATATTTATTTAAATAATTTCTTGGCTTGCTTCTTCTCCTTCCCCTTCCCCTTGTTCTTCTTTTTCTCAGTGCTGGAGATCAAACCCAGAGCGCCACACATGCTAGGCAAGGGCTCTACCATGGAGTTACATCCCCAGCCCCATGGCTTGATCCCTGCTGAACACAGTCGATTAGCCTGAACAGTATGAAGCTACTATCCCAACAAAACAAACAGCAACCTGTAGCTTTATATATCTTAAAAGTAGGCTAGCACAGTATCAGTATCTAGAAAAGTACTGGCTTTCAGTACACACTGGGAATGAAAAAGAAGTTACATTTACTGCTTAGGAAACTCTCCCAGCTCTGGGTCAGATAAAAGCATTTCACGGGACAGCCAGACAGCTCCAAGATCCCCTGGGAGTGTGCTACTTCTGGCCACAGACTTGCTTCCTCAGCTGGCTACGTGTTTCTCCCCCAGGTCAATCCACAAGACCCAAGAGTTCTCCAGGTATCATTAAGAAGTCTAAGGTCTAGACAGAAGAGACTGAGGTCAGGGATTTCAAAAAGTATTTTATTCTAATAAAATCATACTTCATAAAAGGACCATAATAACATTCTGAACCAAATTAGTGAGAGCTATGTATCTGTCACAGTTCTATTGTTTTCTCAAAACAATGGTCACAAAAAGGAAAATAAAAATAATTAGTGGGGAAACCCAGAAGCTAACTTCTTCTGTCATTTCCCATACCACAGGCAATGAAGTCATATGATTTAGACGGCATGTTGCCACAAATCAGGAACCTTTTCTACCTTACTAGTCAAACACAAATACCACTGAAGCATTCCACCTTCAAAAGCTTATTTTTGAAGTAAAACAAGGCAGGAATAATTGGATATCTTTTTCTGTGTGACTACTAAGTCTGATGAGCAGAAGAAAGTAAACCTACAAATGTGTTAGCCACAGTTTATAGCAACCCAAGAAGAGAAACAGACTTTAGATTTATTGATTCTACTGGGGAGGGAAGCTTGTAAGCTCATAATCACCTCCCTAAATCCCTTTGAAAAGTCAGTCAGTCAATAGCGTCACAAGCTTACCCTGAATCCGGATTCCACCTTGTCTCTGGGGGACGAGGAGTTTTGCCTCAGCTCTTTGAGGGGAGCTTCGATTCCTCCACCCGCGGACAAGAGTGCCCACCATGGTGGCTGACAGCATGGTCCTGGCAGCCGTGGTCCTGCTACAGGTAGTGGGCTGTCCAGTCAGGCTGCCTTGGCAGGAGGAGCAGGTGCTCCACCCAGGCAGACAGGCCCGGCCAGTTCCTCCTGCCTCCATCCTCCACCCACATCCTCATCCTCTGCTGCCCTGAGACCTCCCTCGGGAAGCCCAGAGAAAGTTTGGGAGATGGGACAAGAAAAAACTGACAGCAGCAAAAACAAAAATGAAGGCTATGGATAGAGGTGATGGATAGAAGAGAATGGTCAGTTTTATGAAGTTTCAGTCCCCTTTACAGGAGTGATTATTTTTGATTCTTCAACAGTCAGAGGTGACTGTGTGTGACAGGTGGGTGTGACATGGACTTGTGCCTCTGCTTGTCTTTTCTCAGCCTGTTTTCTCTCCTGCAAGGATCCAGTTCAGGTGACTGGTTTTCCAAACAGAACCGTTCTACACACACAGAATTTGTTTACACTATATGAAAGGTGTTACTAATATTCTGTGTGTTTACTTCAAGAGTTATATTGGCTTTTGAGGTTGAAGAAAAATGAGTCATAATAAAAATTCACAACCACTTAAACTCCCAAAGCCTTTTTAAAAATGAATTGCTTCCAGTGGCCTAATTATCTCTGTCGCTGAGGCAGCTGCAGTGGCCTCAGCCTGAGTAGGTGGCACCTGAGAAACAGTCACGTGGCACTCTGTCCACAGATGCCTCCTACTGGCCAGGATGCTGGTGTGCAGTGGTAAGAGACCTGACTAAGTGCATTAGAGTAGGGGAAGGCCAGGTGGTTCTAGAAAGGTCTAGAATCCCTGGTATCTCTGGGTGCTGTACTCCTTCAGCCTACATGGTAAAGACTGACTGGATTAATTGTAGGCTCCCTGGGAGGTTTCCATAACTTTTATGACTCTACAGTATAATCCATACCAGATTTCATCCTTTTTCTTCCTTCCCAAGTTACACCTTAATTTAATAAGATCAAGACTATTTCTGCAGGAGGCAAAGAGTACCCAAACTTCCCCAAATTGATCACTTTTTTAGAATAAAAGGATAAGTTTACTAAAAAAATGTTTTGAGCATATATACTTTGTACATTTATTATAATTACATTGATGTTTTCCTTTATTACTTTGACCTTTCCAAAATGAGAAAAACTTTTGTATTACAGACAGAAAGAAAGCAGAAATGGAAGATGGGAATTCGAAGCATAAGAGGAAGCTACTGGCTTTGTTCCTACCACACTTGAAACTCAGGGTGGGACCCCAGGTAGCACCTGATTATAGGGAATCGGGGGCAGCATGTGATGAGGGTGCATTGCCTTCCCTTTTGTAGTGTGTTTCCCTTTCCCAGGGGCAGCTCCTTGTGCCAAGCTAGTTGTGCATGGGGCAGGGCTCCCTACCTTTTAGGGAAAAGGGCAAAAGGCCTCCAGGGATCTCAGCCTGCTGTCATATGCAGAGTCACCACGACAGGCCCAACCTGCCTCCTGTGGGGCCACGCTTTGCTGCGGTGAAGTGGCCTCCAGAAAGGAGGGCAGTGGACCCAGAATGGGGATCAGCAGTCATCTCAAGGTATGGACCATGTCACTCATCAGGGGACAGGACCAGGAGACAGGACTCTGGAATTATATCTTTTTGGAATTTTGTGTTCAAATGGATGGGGTGAAATGAGCTGGAAATGGAGAGTTAGGGATTCTAGCAGAGGCTCTATCAAGGCACACAGAAGCCGCCATTGGCCCTCCACTGGGCCCTGAGGGTGAGGGCAGAGAAAACACAGTAATGGTGAAAGCAAAGGATCAGGATTAAGACCATAAAGAATCAACACTAACACCCTGGCTATTGTGCTGTCCTCTGAGAACTTGACCATTTCTGCAGCTACGTATCTGAAAGCCTCCCCCAAAAGGCTAATCAGAGGTCCAAGATGGGAGGCACAGGACTCGTGACGGAAGCCTTTCTCAAATCACAACAAATTGGCCAAATTCAGACACCGGGATCCCTGAAGGACCCCCGTCAACAGTCACCCAGGGCGCATGAAGCACAGTATGTGAGAGAGGAAGGAGGCAAGTGGAGCCAGCCCAGCACACCCCTGAATTCCCTGCAAAGTGTTTGTGTGCTCCCCACCTCCTGGGTACCCACATAGGGCACTTGTCATACACTGCTGTGAACACTGGTGTGTGTTCTCTCCCTGACCTAACTGGGCATCAGAAACACTTCACAGAGGAAGGAAGAGGAGGAGGAAGAGAAAGAGGAGGAGGAGGAGAAAGTGGAGAAAGGGCACAAGGAGGAGGAGGGAGAGGAGGAGAAGGGGAAAGAGGAAGAGGAAAAGGAGAGGAGAAGAAACACTGTATAGAACACAGGCTTTACCCCTAGCATGGCTCTCTGTGAGGTCTAAGTGGTGCCAGGGAGGCCAGACTTAGTAAAGCTCCATGTTTTCTCACGTTGCCAGCCTGGATTTGATGTCTCCCTGAAGTCAGGGACCAACATCCTTTGCGACTGCTGTGTGCAGCGTAACACATGTAGCCAGCGCGTGGCTTGCGGAGTGGAGTGGCCGGCCTCTGGCCATACTCACCCTTCCTCCCCTCACCCACTAGGTTGCCTGGTGCCTTTGTCTGTCCATGAAACCTGCCTGCTTGCCACTACCTCAACACCATTCTGGAGACAGATAGCATCTCCTAGCATCCCCTTCTCTTTGCTCCCCACCAGGCCTTCTCAGTGGCTTGCCACAGTCGCTTGCCAGTGATGTTCTGGCCCAGTACAAAATGTGTCAGGGCAGCAGTGTCCTGACCATTCCACTCCACGCAGAATGGCTCCGTCTCTGCGTCAGAGGCTTTGCTTCCTGAATACACTGAAGGGAAGCCCGCATGTAAATGTGACTCAAGTTCAACAGCAGCATGTGCACTCTGTCACCCTTAGCTTGCTGGTGACAACAGGTGGGACATTCAGTGTCCAAGGTCCCCAACCACTCCACCCCAGGAAGCTGAGCAATGACTCTGACTGATGAGAGAAACAGGGACAGGAAGAGGAAGAAGAGTAATGTCCTGCCTGCGAGGTCAACCCCACCCTTCCCCCTCACACAAACGTACTTCCTAAATGGACCCCACTATGGGCGAGCTGCGTCCTCCCCCCAGCTGCAAAGGGAAGCTGCTTGATGGTGAGCGCATGAGGTCATCCCCCACATCTGCTTAATTATAAGCTGGCTCTTCTCTCTTAAAAAAGGATATGTGGAGATGAAAACACACTTTTCCCTTAGACAGGATACCCAGAAATCCAGAATCATTCTGGAGACCACTGAGGGCTGACAGACTTCATAACGAAATGTAGTTCACAGGTATCTGCATCTAGGTTCCCATGGTGCCTACTATGAGTTGCCAACCTATCCTTTAGATTTCAAAAACACTCACCTCTCCAGAGGACAGAGTGGGAGGCAAATCAGGCCATTTTCAATCTTCTTTGTAATCTCTTAGGACCCAACATGGCTCTGGGCACTCAAGGACACCTGGGGAACGCTGACTGAAAATTGACATGTCCAGTTGTGATGACAGGGTTGTCAACTGTGACAATGTGCTCTAAGCCACTGGAATTAAGTAGGACTTCCCTCTCCGCAGCAAGTATTTGACCTCCTCTTACGCTGGCCGGAAGGAGCTGTCGAGGCAAGGGTGGGGCTCTGTGGGAAGCACTGCCCCTCAGTCCTGAGAGTCCTGTCTATCTGGCTGCTCTCTGGTGAACTCCTCTCTACACTTCCCTTGGGGACAGGAGTAGGGCGGCAGACTGGCAAGTGTTCAAGTAAAACCTGGTGTAATCATAACTGAATTGTTTTGCTCATCTGGCAGAGAGCTGCCTCCCGGTAGCACATGTTTTATGTCAGTTCCTGCTGGCTTCAGTTTGCAGGTGCAAGCTCTGCTCCTGTGTGGGGACAGCCACCCCGCTTCAGCCTGCCAGGTGGGAAGGCTCCTTGCCTGAGTTCAGTCTGTGGCTGCTGCCTGCCCACAGACACAAGATACAGCCTCCAACTGGCTGCCTCCTATGTTTCCCATACTCAAACTGGTTCAAAACCTGGGTAGGAAGAAAAGGTCTTCGTTGTTTTGACTCCAAACCCCAGCATCTGGCAGACTGGCTCCTGGACCTGGCATCCCAGGAACGAAGTAACTCCTGAAGGCTGCTGCTGTTGCCTGATGCTGTGCTGTGAACGTGGAACATTTGTTTTTGCCTTGGCAAATTGTTCTGTGTTATAGCTGGCAGTCTCAAGCTGGCTTTCACTGTGGCCTGGTGAGGAGCTCGGCTGCAATTTTTGATCTGGCAGCTGTTTCAGCTAAGATGAATTTACTGCTGACGAGTAGCTTGTTCCTAGTCTCAGGCACGCAGGCGGCACAGCCCTCACAAACAAGGCCCAGGATCGGCCTACAAGCAGATGGCTGGGTGGCCTCAGCAAGGGTGGCTTATCCTCGCAGTGCAGTGGGGGCGGCTTTACAAGGGCAGGCTCCCTTGGGTAACCCCTGGCTACACAGGTTCAGGGCTTCTGAAGCAGGTGCACTGAAGCAAAGCATCAACACTAGGAAAAGGAGTCTTTGTATTAACAGACTACTTAGACATCAGGGATGGGACAATAGCGAAGCCAGTAAGCACCATGCGCATTGCAGAGTGAGCTGTGGCTTTAAGTTACAACTGTCAGCCTGTCCAGCAACATTTGATGAGTGCTGCAAATTCTGTTTTGCATTCAAGGCCAAGGGGAAACTGAGGAGAGGCAAAATTTAGATACAGGTAGCTCACTCATAGGTTTGAACCTCTTCATATTAGATGGCCTTGCATCGACTCTAGATCATTGGATTCTTTCACTCGGATTTTACTGTGACTCTGCCTTAGATTTG